TTAAAACAAAGGCATGGAAAACAACTGTAGATACCAGAGACAGTGTGGGAAGAGGGTGGAAAATGGCAGAGAGTGATGGGTGGGGAATCAAAGAGGAACAAAAAAAAGCAAAATATATAAGAAACAAGAAATGGAAAATTATTGGTTGATAATAACATGTATGGTAATATTCTTGATTGAGCCAATATACAGTGTATTCTGGATGGAAAATCTTACTTTATATATTGTATTGATGTAAATGAATGAATGTAAATAAATAAAATAAATTTTAAAAATATATTAAAAATTAACACAACATAAAAAAGTAGAATATGATTTCCTTTACCTCCTAAGTCTGGTATCTAGGCCAGAAAGTCTAAAAAAACAAGTATAATATAGTCATCAAGCATACATGTTCTGTCATGGCCTATGTTCAAATAAAGTTTCAAAGATTTACTGAGTGCCCTTGGGAAAATTTATTTTATCTCTGCATCAGGTTTCTTCTTTATAAAGTTTATTAATTATTTATTTTTAATGTATATTTACATTTTGTACACAGTACATATTTATAGTATACAAAATGGTTTTCCCAGCATTAATACACTGAATAGTAGTCAAGTCAAAGATAATACCATATACATTATCATGAACAGATTAATTTTTTTTTTCCGCTATAGGGCACGTGCACTCGCCAAACAGAGAGACATAGAGACAGAAAGACAGAAAGCGAGAAATCACCCCCCCAGGGGGGATGGTCATGCCGCAATCCCTTCTCCTCCATTCTCCTCTCGGGATCTTGGGCACGCACGCACATGCGCCCGGTGTGAGATTTAAGCCACCGGGTCCGGGACACGAACCATGGTCGACTACATGGGAATCCAGCGACATAGCCATTACGCTAACTGCTGGTTCCCAACAGATTACTTTTCATTTTCGTATCTGTTAAATTAGTCTCTGTTTGGGACCAGCAGATGATGTAATGGTTATATCACTGGACTCACATAGTTTAACGCAGTTTGAGAATCAGATCTGGTGGCTTAAAACTCATGCCAGGCACATGTGCGTGCTTGTCCAAAATTCCAAGAGAAGAATCAAGGAGATGGGATCACAAAATGGCCATTCACCTTGGGGGGGTGATTTCTCACTTTCTGTCTCTCTCTGTCTCTCTAGAGAGTGCAGATGTCCAATAGCAAAAATCTCTCTTTAAACTAAAACAAAAAAAAAGAAACCTTATTTTCTGTCTGTCTCTCTCCAGTAAGCATACACACTGTATAGCAAAAAATCTCTCTCTAAAAAAAATTTAAAAATTCTTCTTCTTTTTCCCCCTGATGCCTTTTCTCCCATCCCATTACTCAACCCCTCCTATACTGTATCTAGTATCTTCAGTTGGCTTCTCTGCTATTATACCTTCCAAAATTTCAGTTTCTACCAGAGAATGCAGACATTGGGTATATATTAAGGTGGGGGGGCGGATAAAATGCCTCTCTTTCCTAGTCTTCCCTGTTTCGTAATAACGTTAAATCTTCCATATTCATCTACTTTGCATCACATGTCAGGATCTCATTGTTTTTTGTAGCTGAGTATTATTCCATAGTATATATGTGTCACGGTTTTTCCATTATTCATTTGTCCTTGGACATCTGGGTTGATTCCACATCTTAGCAATTGTGAATAATGCTACAATAAACATGGATGTGCAAAGCACTTTTCTAACTGAGGGTTTTTCCTATACTTTGGGTAGATAACCAGGAGTGGAATTACAGGGTAAAATGTCAGTTCAATTTGTAAGTTTTTGGGGAGCCCCCATATTATTCTCCATAGCAGTACTAATTTATGTTATCTCTAACAAAGTAAGAGGGTTCCCTTTTCACTGCAGTCTCACCAGCAGTTATTGCTCTATTATTTTTTAAATCCTAGTCATTCAGACTGGGGATAAGTGGTATGTAATTGTGATTTTGATTTTCATTTCCCTTATAACAGCTTTAGAGCATCTTTTCAAAGGTTTCTTGTTTGTTCATGTGTTTTCCTTGGAGAGTTGTCTGTTCAACTTGCTTGCCCATGTTTTAACTGGGATTTATTTATTTATTTATTTATTTATTTATTTATTTATTTATTTATTTATCACAGGTAAGCTGCTTGTCTGAGGCATAGTTTGCAGATATATTCTCCCATTCCAAGGGTTGTCTCTTCTTTCTAATTATTGATTCTTTTACTATGCAAAACCCTTTTAGCCTAACGTAGTCCTACTTGTCCGTGTTCAGGATTATTGTCTTATTTAGGAAGTCTTTGCCTACTCTGATGCCTCCAAGAGTTTATTCTGTGTTTTCTACCAGTAGTTTTATAATTTGAGGTTTTATGTTCAGATCTTTTATCCATTTTGAATTAGTTTTTGTTAATGGTGAGAGAAAAGTTTCACTTTTCTGCAGGTGGATATCCATTTTTCCAAGAAACATTTGATTAAGACATTTTTTTCCCATTCTGTCGTCTTGTGCTCTTTGTCAAAAATAAGTTGGCTAGACCAGCAGTTAGTGTAATGGCTATGTCACTGAACTACCATTAATTGAGCACAGTGGTTCAAGTCCTGGACCTGGTGGCTTGAAGTCATGCCAGGCGCATGTGTATGCAATGCCCAGGATCCCGAGAGGAGAATGGAGGAGAAGGGATTGCACCATGGCATGGCCATCCCCCCTGGGAGGATGATTTCTTGCTTAAAGATAGGGACCAGCAGTTATCGTAATGGTTATGTCACTGGACTCCCATATAGTTGATCGTAGTTCAAGTTCTGGACCTGGTGGCTTGAAGTCATGCCAGGCGCATGTGTATGCAATGCCCAGGATCCCGAGAGGAGAATGGAGGAGAAGGGATTGTGGCGTGGCCATCCTCCCTGGGGGGTGATTTCTCGCTTTCTGTCTCTCTCTGTCTCTCTGGTGAGTGCAGGCGCCCTATAGCAAAACCTCTCAAAAAAATAAATAAATAAATAAATTGGCTATATATTTTGCAGTCTAATTCTGCATTGGCTATATACCTGTTTTTGTGCCAATATCATGCTGTTTCAATTATCACAGCTTTGTAATATATTTTGAAGTCAGGAAGTGAGATGCCTCCTACTTTATTTTTTTTGCATAGTATTCCTTTGGTGATAGGGAGCCTTTTAAAATTCCAGAAAATGTTTATGATTTTTTCCTATTTCTTTGAATAATATCTCTGGTAATTTGATCAGAATTGCATTAATACACTTATTTATTTTATTCATTATAGAGAGCACAGATGTTCAAAAAAGAATGAAAGGAAAAGAGAAGGAGTGAGAAGCATCTTCAACAGGGTTTCGTCACACCAGAATCCCCTTCCACCAGTTATCTAGCTGTCAATATCTTGGATACATGCACTATCCTGGAGTGTTTCAAGGTCACCATGATGGGGATCAGAACATATGGTCAGTCACGTGGTTTCCAGCACTGCAGTTCAGTACCTTACCTACTGCACTACCAATATGTCTCAGTTTTATCAATTAAATGGTGATAAAAATAGTACCTATCTCATAAGTTCTTTTTTAAGTTTAAATGAGTTTTTATTTGTGAAGTTCTTAGAGACATACTTGACTTATAGTAAGATCTTACTAGATTTTAATTGTTACTGATATTTTAAAAAATATTTTGGAAAGAATATGTAAAAAAAGATAAAGTCTAAAATTATGCATTTCCCTTTTAACTGCACTATACTTTAGAGGTTTTCTATTTTTGTCATATTTCTATTGTTCTATTTTATGACATAAACTGACAACATTATTATCCTCCGTACATTTATTCACATCGTCTGGAACACCTCATATCTTCACTCTAATGAAACTAAGCACATTCTTCTTTCAAAACTTAGCTCATGCCTCACATTTTCCATAAATATCTGGCAACTACACAATTCATTATGCCTGAGCTCAAAGCATCAGTTGCCTATATTAAATCATGTGCAAAGTAATCCTTTCTTTTCTTGTGATAGTCCCTTTCCTGATATCCTTACTGTTTTAAAATATACTATAACGTCCTTATATGAAGAGCTTTATATCAAAGCTCTTTACATTTCTATAGCACCTAGAACACGGCTTTGCATACATGGTAGATTCACAATGATTATATGTTAATTATGCTCTGTCTTATTCTATTTTGTACATGGTAATAAGATTGATTCCTATGAATTTCATATAAGTCATGTTTATACTCATCAAAGACATAGACATACTGTCCATAATTTGTGTGCATATAAGCATTCATGCACGCACTTATAAAATGTCATGAATACAGTTGCTTTTCTCAATGAATTTCCATGAAATAAAACATAACTAATGCCTCCCACTTACTATTTCCACTGAAAATACAGGCTGCAGCTTGTTAGTAGAGAAGTGCTATGTAAAGGATTTGAGCTACTATGTTCAGAAATGCCATTGAGTGTCTTTATTACAGGAATAACAAACCCCCCAAAATATAATAGCAAGTAATATGATCATTGCCCTTGGCAGCACCATTAAACTGAGCAGCGAACTACTTCAAATAGCTGTGAGTGTTAAACATTAGTTCAGCATTAAGTAGGTTGATTTTAACGGCCAAATGTGCACTGTGGTCTATCTGAACATTAAAAGCACCTTTCAAACTTAATTTTACAGAAATGTTAATGACCAGAACAAACTATTTTAGGCAAAAGAAAAGTAATTATTTCAACAGATGAAAGGAAACAATAAATGAAGGCTCATGTTTTAAACAGGGAGCAGTAACTTATCTCTTTTTAGGGAAATGTTTTGAGCCCAAACACCATGAACATATTTAAGCTGCTGTTTGCATAGGAGTTCTTTTCATTTGCAGATATAATTCTTGGGGAAAAAAAACGAACAGCTTTTCTAAACTTGAGTTATTAACTAAACCACCATAGGAATATTTGTTTTCAAAATGGAAGTAATTAGCTTCTAAATGCCTAATATAGACATTTTCTAAAATGGTGGAAAATAGGAATACATCACAAAGAGGTAAATAAGCATAATCAGTAAGGGAAAAGAGAATTATGAAAACTGATGCTAAAAGGTTGTCTTATGTGATGGTAGTAGTACGGAGGTAAAGATGATGATTGTGAATTTTAAGTTCAATAAATTACATTGCCCATTCTCAATGCCACAAATGGGTGACTTTTAGAACATATTAAAATAATAGACCAAAAAAGCACATAATATTGAAAAAAGCAGGGTCTTAGGATTGCTCTCACTACTGTTGTGTTTTAAGTTACAAGGCCAAGGTGTAAATTTAAACAATAAAATGTCAAAATAACCAAATCATGATATTAAAAATACTTTGAAAGATAATGAACAATTCTTTTTTAATAAATTATACTTGGCCAAAAATCAGATTTGTGGTAAACCAAGCCTAAAGCATATGCATCATATATAAATAAAATAATATTAGTACTTCATTCTATTAGAAATTTTTTCCTTCAGAAGTAATGTAATTTTGCTGTAGTGAAACCAATATCTAAATTTTACTCTGAAAATTCCATACAGAAATTCAAGCAATGAAAACTAGGCTAATATATGGGTCTTCTTATCTCCTAGACGTTAATAACTCAAGTCAAGATTAATGATTTCTTCTTAAACAGGATGAGAAAACTCTTTCAGACCTTACTAAGTTGACAATAAAAATTAAATAAAAAAATAAAACAAGAAATTTAATTTTCTGAGCATTAAATGAGTCGTAGTGGCTTTAAAGAAAATGAAAATGAGGTGAGTTGACCACAATTTAATCAGGTCCTTTGGGTTAGGAACAATCATTGCCATATTACAAATAATTTAAGGTTTGATTTATGGAGGAAATTTTATTTTCTCAATGTGATTTTAAGCTCCTAGAAAGTAGGAGATAGGCCTGTGTAGTTCATAAACTTCCAGAAAAGCACCTGATTAAATGCTCAATGTCTGTGTGCTTACAGTATGTTTTTCTTAAAATAACAATAGCACAAATGTGACTCATATAGAAAAGAAGAAAATCTGTTCTCGAGGGGCTTAAGAACTTTATAAGTGTCTTTTACTGCTGATGATGGGACTTCCCTAAGGCAATTTAGCTCAGCATTTCAATTCACATTGTGTGTTTAGTAAAGCCATTTCAGAACACTAGTTGCGAGTAGGAATATATCCTACCACATTTCTGGCAATTAAAAAGATGATAATTCTGGCAATGTCTTTTTCCTCAACATTTCCCACCCTCCCCAAATATAGTATTCCATCTCCACTATTCCCAGATAAATAGAAAAACATGCAAGCCTTATTTTTAACTTCATAATCTCCATGTATTTACAGTTTTATCAGTTATATAGAAAAAAGATGATTTAGTGCTTTGCACTCTGCCTGTGTAGCATGAATATCTCTAAAAGGTTGAAACTGGAAACAACAAAAAACAAAATAGGTTTGTAAACCCAGCAGAAGTAGTTTAGACTGACTTCTAGTTCCTTGTGAGTAGGACCATTAAATAGCCAAAGACAAATAATTGTTCTATTTATTCAGTTTTCAAGATTTCTTGGTTATTTTTGGTGAGTATAATATAATACTAAATATTGAAATAATAGTAATAATTACAGATGCTAAGTCCTATACTAAACACTTTATATTTAGAATGTAATTTAATTCTCATACCGATAGTGTAAGATAGATACTACTATTTCCTCCTTTTCCAGTTTAGGAAACAGGCACTGAGGGGTTAAAGACACTTGCCCAAATTACACAGCAAAGCTTAAAAAGGAACCCAGATTTTTTTGATTATAGATTCTGCGTTCTAATTGTACAGCATAATTTCTTGCTTGTGGTATACTGAATTAATATATCACCTTTCAAAAAGTCATATTTGGGGGAACCAGCAGTTAGCGTAATGACTATGTCGCTGGACTCCCACGTAGTCAACTGCGGTTCGCATTCCGGGCCTGGTGGCTTAGAACTCACGCTGGGCGCGTGTGCATGCATGCCCAAGATCCCAAGAGGAGAATGGAGGAGAAGGGATTGCGGCGTGACCATCCCCCCTGGGGGGTGATTTCTCGCTTTCTGTCTGTATGTCTCTCTCTGTCTGTCTGGCAAGCGCACGTGCCCTATAGCGAAAACCTCTAAAAAAAAAAAAGGGAAAAAAGTCATATTTGGGGGGCAGAAAGCAGACACTTAGGATGATGAGGATTTGGCTTTTGAGTTTTCCTTGCTGCACAGATTCTCAGTCACATTTGCTAATAGAGACATACTTAATCCATGTGTACAAGAAAGTGAATAGAATTAAAGAAACCATGAGACAAAAA